CAGTCCTCACTAACTTAAATAAGGTTAGTATCATCAGTTTAAATCAAACCTTAAAAACCTACTGCAGTCCTCACTAATTTAAATAAGGTTAGTATTATCAGTTCAAAACAAACCTTAAACACCTACTGCAGTCCTCACTAACTTAAATAAGGTTAGTATCATCAGTTCAAATCAAACCTTAAAAACCTACTGCAGTCCTCACTAACTTAAATAAGGTTAGTATCATCAGTTCAAATTAAACCCTTATAGAAACCTACTGCAGTCCTCACTAACTTAAATAAGGTTAGTATCAGTATCATTGTTAAATCCGGTTCATTTCAAGAACTGGACCGGGCCGACTTTAAAGCAGCTAAATCAAGTTGTGCAATACTCATGCAGATTACATATATAACAGGACCTGTTTACTCATGAGCCTCAATCTGTTTTCTTAATCCTTTCATCTTTGTAACCTGATGGAAGAACTTTGATAAGTCAAATTTTGGCTATTTGATTTAGTAGAATTCATAGTTTAGGATTATCAATGGCCTCCAAATTCAGTTTACTATGAAAAAGGGTTAAAAAATAGAGTTTGGTGTGCTTATTTAGTTCCTAAAAAAAGAATTTATAATGTTTAAGCGAAGCAGTTCTTCTCATTGGAGAAAGTAAGAAACTTATTAAATCTTCTTTGCACTCCCTTTCAAAATTAAATGTCACTAATTATATATTGTATAAATTTATGCAAGTATGGCTCCGGATTCCACACCTCTGGGATAAAAATTAATAGCTTTATAAGGTTGCATCTCTAGAAAGGGAATTGCAGATATGCGTCAGATAATTTAAAGAATTCAATATTTTTTAATAAAATATGACAACATCTTCCTCGACTATCTAAACGTCGACTACCGAAACGTAGATTATCAAAACGTTGAATAACGAAACATCAATGATACAAAACGTTGAATTTTACAAACCGTTGAATAACAAAACATCAATGATACAAAACGTTGAATACTACAAACCGTTGAATAACAAAACATCAATGATACAAAACGTTGAATACTATAAACCGTTGAATAACAAAAACATCAATGATACAAAACGTTGAATACTACGTCGACTACCGAAACGTAGATTATCAAAACGTTGAATAACAAAACATCAATGATACAAAACGTTGAATTTTACAAACCGTTGAATAACAAAACATCAATGATACAAAACGTTAAATACTACAAACTGTTGAATAACAAAACATCAATGCTACAAAACGTTGAATTTTACAAACCGTTGAATAACAAAACATCAATGATACAAAACGTTGAATACTACAAACCGTCGAATAACAAAACATCAATGATACAAAACGTTGAATACTACAAAAAGTTTAATAACAAAACATCAATGATACAAAACGTCGACTGCTACAAACCATTGAATAACAAAACATCAATGATACAAAACGTCGACTGCTACAAACCGTTAAATAACAAAACATCAATGATACAAAACGTCAACTGCTACAAACCGTTAAATAACAAAACATCAGTGATACAAAGCGGTGAAAACTACAAAGCGCTGACTAAAAAATTATCAGTTTGATACAAAACGTTGAATGCGACAAAACGTCAAATAACAAAACGTTGACTGCTACATAACGTAGAATAACAAAACGTATAAATTACAAAACTTACACTGGTGCTAAACGTTGATTACCAAAATGTTGCATTATGTTTGATTAAGCAGGGTAAAGAAGTTTCTGGGACAAGCTAGGATGGGCTAGGGGGCCGAGTGCGGCAGCCTCTTAAATGTTTAATTTTTGTCCTGTCTCTCACATTATTTGGGTTGGGGGAGAGCGGAGGGTTTACTAGGGCTGAGCAAAGTTTCGTTAACGAAACAAAGGTTTTCGAAAATTAACGGAAGAGTCCATCAGAGGGACATTAAGTTAAGAAGATAAAGGAATTGAGTCTTTGCCACAAACTCAAATTTTCAAATCCCTATATCTATGGAACCTGATGTTGTAGACTTTTGATATTTCAAAATAAGATAATTTGATGCAACAAAATTCATAGTTTGAAATATCTAAAGTCTACGACATTTGGTTGCAGAGATATAGGAATCTGAAGATCAGAGTTTGTGTCAATGACTCAACTCCTTTGTGTCAGCTTCTTTTTCAGCAAATTAAAAATTATTCTTCACCACT